AGTCTTTTGTTTTCATGTAGTTTATCCTAATTTACATTGAAATACATTACGTTTCAGCAAAACTACTATTTATTTCTGAGAATATGGAAATGTAATATTTTTGCTGAAATGACGTACGTATTACAGTGGAAAGTGACGAAAGCAATGACTCGCTTTCTTTCGTTCAAAAGATGTTACCGTAATCGCTTTTCGAATGGTTTTCAATTAAAAAACTGTTGTATTACAATAATATGCTATCCTAATTCACTTGTGATGCAACAGTTTTTTAACTGAAAACCATTCGAAAAGCGATTATGGTAACATCTTTTGAACGAAAGAAAGCGAAAGTCATTGTTTTCGTCATGATTTTATCCCACTTTCCACTGTAACACGTACGTCATTTCAGCAAAAATATTACATTTCTGTGAATGTAGTATATCAAGCACAGTATGAATAGAATATCATTGTAATATAACAGTATTTTAACCGAAAACTGTTAAAAAAACGAGTAACATCTCTTGAACATCGGAAGGTTAGGTAAAGTCTTTTGTTTTCGTCATGTATTTTATCCTATTTTATATTGAAGTACATCACGTTTCAGCAAAACTACTATTTATTTCTGAGAATATATTCATTCAGGCGCAGTTTAGGTGAAATATACTTGTGATGTAACAGTTTTTTAACTGAAAACGATTCGAAAAACACGTACCCTCTAGCCCTGTTCAAGGAGAAGACTGGGAGGAGCTGTTTGGTGCTGAAGACGATAACAAGGAAAATGATTTTGATGGATTTTAATGAAAATATTCAGAAATATGGTATCGTAGTATTTATTCAAGTGAATTAGGATAGAAGATTATTGTTATACACCAGTTTTTTTAACTGAAAACCATTCAAAAAGCGATTATGGTAAAATCTTTTGAACAACGAAAGAAAGCGAGTCATTGTTTTCGTCATGATTTTATCCCACTTGCCACTGTAATACGTACGTCATTTCAGCAAAAATATTACATTTCCATATTTATTTCTGAGAATATATTCATTCAGTCACAGTTAAGGTAAAATATACTTGTGATGTAATATTTTAATGAAAATACCCGGTATTTAGAAATACGGTATCGTAGTTTTCTTTTGTTTCAAATTTAATTAACAAAGATTGATGTTTCAAATGTAATGAACAAAAATTTATGTATCTATAAATAAACTTTAAAAAATTAATACTTTATGTTTTACATCGTCCTGTGCCACCATACCATACATTTGGCTACTTTGGGCTTGCTATGATGACGCAAGAGATCTGCCCTGGCAACTGTACCGACACTCACAGCTGGTGGTGGGTTGGTGCATCGTTTCCATTGTGTACAGTGGGGTATGCTATAACCAGGGCTGTGGAGTCGGAGTCGAGGAGTCGGAGGAAATTTCGGCTTGTGGAGTCGGAGTCGGAGTCGGTAAAATTGTCCAGACTCCGACTCCGACTCCGACTGAAGCTATTCTGTTCCTAAGAACAAATATATGAACTCAGGCATATTCATTGCAGTGATTCCACTGATCCCACTAATTTTCTTAAATTATTAAAAGAATTTATTTCCATTTTATAAGCATTATTATGAATTTATTGTAGCAGGCACAGTATAGCACTATAATTTTGGACGATAGTCTCTTCTTTACCATTTGAAATTTTGAATTATATCAAATTTTGTTTCGTTGAAAACTGCACAGAGGCTCTCAGCTACAAAACAATTAGCTACAACCTGTTTTTGGTGAGATTAAGGCAAATTTAATTTAATAACTTAATCATGTAAGGTTTATCCATTTTCCTTAATAAGGTATTCATTTCTTTAATGTACATAAATATATAACTTTACTTTAAAAGGAATTGTAGGATCATCATTTAGATCCACATCAGATTATGAGCTTAAACAAAATTCATATGCTGAGATCGAACTTTTAGATATACATGTAAATGGTGTTTTCTAGTTAATATCTTGAATTCTTAATAAATTTATTTTTCTTTTGATTGAAACTTTGAAAGTCAAGCCTATCATCTTTTTGTAGTTCTTAAATATCGTCCAGATCATTAATAAAGCTGTAGCAGTATAGCCACGGTGTTTTACTTTTTACCTACGCAGGTTACAACATACAAATTACAATTAGGATGGTAGAAATAGTTGTTACAAATAGGCCAAGGAGTCGGAGTCGGAGTCGGCAGCATAAAAATTTGAGGAGTCGGAGTCGGAGTCGAAGGTTTTGTCTTCGACTCCACAGCCCTGGCTATAACGAACGGATCCTACTACGAATATTCCTATAACGAACGGTTTTACCTATAAAATTGAGAATGCTATAACGAACGCAACTCCTACAACGAACGCGGATGAATACCGGACTATTTCGCCTGGCGCATGAATATTGTTGTACCGCGACCCACAACAAGAGTGTCAGGCGCCATCTTTGTCTCATTGTGTAGCCAGTGCACCACTGTTATTGTTGAAATTTCGTCTTTTGATGTGGAAATTCGCGTTATTTGTATAACTATTTTGTTATACAAGTATACAATTGTAACAATGAGTCGTCCAAAGCGAGTGAGAAAGCTAATAACCCTTGAAACTAAGAAAGAAATTGTAAAGAAACGTGAGAATGGAAGAAGCATTGCGAAACTTAGTGATGAATATGGGATGGCTAAATCGACTATATGTACGATTTTGAAGAATAAAGAGGAGTTAAAAACTGTGCAAGTGGCTAAGGGAATCTTTAGACTTAGCAAAGCAAGGTGTAATGTGATTGAAGAGATGGAAAATTTACTCTTAGTGTGGATAAAGGAGAAAGAAATGGCAGGTGGTAACATTAGTGAAGCTATAATTTGTGAGAAGGCTAAACAATTGTTTGAGGACCTTAAAGCCAAGACTCCCAGTGGAAGTGATAGTGATGTGCCAGTGTTTAGGGGTACCTGCATGCTGAATAACACTAAGGTAAGATAAAGTACCGTATTTTTTACATTTTCCACAGAATTTTGTCAGTGTTAAGCGGTTGTATTTGGGGGCCTGGAACGGATTAATCCTATAACGAACGAATGCTATAACGAACGAGGTTCTGGAACCAATTACGTTCGTTATAGCATAGCCCACTGTACTGGTAGTTACTGGTGAATATTTTTCAACTTAACGAAACTATTACCCATTTAGAGGTCGACCCCTAATTTTTTGCCAAATAATTTGGTCTTAAAAACTCGAACTACACACAGGTATATACGGTAAATAAGGACATGGGGGGCCAGGGTTTTTTTAGGGGGGGGGGGGCAGCAATAGTACACGGATTTTTAACATTCACGGGTATCTCTGTTCCCTAACCCCCACGTATGTTAAGGGCCGACTGTATTTATATCTGTACATATACTTATCACAATCTCTCTAAATATATTTTTGGTTTCGTGTTTATTGAAGACATCTTCAGGTCATGAGACCCACTAATCCCTCACCTAAGAAAGAGTGACCTGATATTCCATCAGATCAGTAATATGAGACCACTAATCCCCCACCCTACCTCGACCTGACATTGTGTCAGGTCAGGTACACGAGACCCACTAATCCTCCACAGCCCCATAGGAGTGGAAAATACCAGTCTTTCCTGTAACACACAGCTTCATTCACCACCGTATAGTAAAGTTTTTAATTTTCAAATATATTTATATAACCAAACTCTTAGATAAACTATTCTGAATTATTATAGTAAAGAAATGAAGTTTCTAACTAAATTAGAACTGCATTTATGGACTCAAGTAGTTTAGACTCAAGGAAAACATCCCCAGCACCCAGAAACATTCTGGGGAAGTGGGCGAGTGTCTGTGTGTGCATGGTGTCTAGTTTAGACACTCGGAAACTTTTCCCAGTAACCGAAAAATATTCTGGGGAAAAGGAATTTTTCCGGGTTTGAGAAAGTCTTCTGGTTAGCTGGAAATCTCTCATCCCTAGAAGTGCTCTGCACCAATTGTTCCGGCTAATGGGCATATCACTGTACAGTGGTCCCTCGGTTAACGAACGGTTCGATTAACGAAATTTCGGTTAACGAATTATTCCTCCATAAGGATCTTCAATTTGGTTAGTGAACAAAACTTTGATTAACGAAATACTTACGAACAACACGTTTTGTTGTGAGCATCAGCTGATGGGCTAGTCTGCCAATTCAGTAATCTGTTCTATGTTTACATTCATTTCCAGTGGAGTAAATATCAAGAAAGTTGTGCTTTTTAATATTTTTTAATTTTTATATTAAAATTATTAGTCATTTTAAAATTTAGTTGACGTATTGATAATATTTGCAATATAGGGAACTAGTTTTTTGTGCGCCCATCAGCCGCTTGACTCAGCCACCAGGCGTCAGTCTGGCTTTGTTGACAATGGAGTGAACATCGATTTTGTTGGTGTCTTAAATATTTTTGCATTCTTACATTGAAATTATTGGTCATTCTGAAATTTATTTAACATTTGATAATATATAGCGGAGTGCAGTGTTGATTTAAATAAAATAAATTTGAATTACACCAAGTGAACTTAAAATTTTATTGGTGAAATGATGGCTTCATGGCATGAAGCATGGGGTGATTTCTCCTCCATCGCCACTTCCATCTCTTCTCCCTTCTCCTCCACCCCCAATTCTAATTCCCATCATCATCACCAACCAGGAACCTTGTACATACACACCTCAAAGTTAGTGTACTTTACTCTATAAGAATCTTCAATTCAGTTAGCAACAAAAATTCGATTAACGAAATCCTTACGAAAATCTCATTTTGTTGTGAGCATCAGCTGATTGGCTACTCTGCCAATTCAGTAATCTGTTCTATGTTTACATTCGTTTCCAATGGAGCAAATATCAGTAAAGTTGAGCTTTTTAATATTTTTCCATGTTTTATATTGAAATTATTCGTCATTTTAATAGTTATTTAACATATTGATAATATTTGCAGTACAGGGAACTTGTTAGTTGTGCACCCATCAGATGCGTGATTCGTTCACAAGCAGGGTTACCAGATGGCCGTTTCCACGGCCAAATTTCTCTACTTTGGCCGTAAAAAACTTCGCATGGCCGTGGAAAAATGGATGGTCAAGGCCAAACTATTTGGCCGAATTTTGTAAAACACGTATTAATTCCTCATCAAGTGGATTTTGAAAATGCTGGCTCAGTGACCTCACCTTGTCATGACCTTACCTAATCAGTGACCTCACCTTTTCACATGATTACGTGACCTATTGAGCTGACTGACCTTACTAGTTACTATCTTAGTTGTTAGTTCTCATATTTGAGTTGTTCAGGCTGAACGTGTCTAGCATATGGGTTAAGCTTCAGAGCTCACAAAGCCATCTGAGTTACTTTCTGAAATTCTGAGTGCTAGTTTTCAAAATGTCCACTAGTAAATGGAAAGGGTCCTACGACACTGGTAGAAAATATAACAAATCAAAGTTTGTAGAACACAGATAGCTCCCAAAGCATCTCGTTTGGCAGATCACAACAAATCGAAAGGGCACTCAAGCAAAATAGCTGCATCGTCCATGAGTAGGGCGCTGCCTGTGATGATCGCTCCAAGGAAATGGGCCAGTAAAAAAAAAAAGTGTCGAATTAGAGTTCGCAGTGGCTATATCTTGTCACTGTTCAACAGCAAGTGTAGACCATCTTGGGGAATTGATGAAAAAGAACGGTAAAGGAAGTGAACTAGAGAATCTGCAGCTCCATCGTACAAAGTGCAGTAAGTTGCTCTCCAAAGTAATTGCTCCAGCATTGTTTGAGGAATTAAAAGGAAATGCAAAGGACAAGAAGTACTCCGTGCTTGTTGACGAAGCCACAGATGTGGCCACAGACAAGCATATTTGTGTTATTGTGAGGTATTATAGTGATTCAAGATTGAAAATTATCACGGAATTTGGTGGCCCTGTGCCCATTGTTGGGGCTACGGGTCATGAAGTGTTCTTGACACTGAGCAACACCCTGGGGAAGATGGGATTAAAGTGGTCTGACTGTGTCGTGTTTGGCAGTGATGGTGCATCTTCGATGATTGGTAAACATAACTCAGTGTGGTCGAGAGTGAGAGAACAGTCACCAAACTGCCAGCTCAACAGATGTGTCTGCCACTCACTTGCACTCTGCATTGAAAAGGCCTTTGGCAAGCTGCCATCTAATCTTGGATACCTCTTGCATAAAGTTCCTAAGTGGTTCAGTAAGAGCATCATCCGTAGAGAGGCATTTAAGGAACTATTTAGGGTAATGGATGCTAAAGAAGAACGAAAGGTCACTCCTCTTCCCTTTCAGAAACTCTCATGTACACGATGGCTAATTCGAGGAAAAGTCATCTACAATATCCCCTTAAACTGGGAGGAACTGAAAGCCTACTTTGCTGTTGTAGTTCCAAGGGCAATTCTTTCCTGTCCAACTATTAGATAGGGTGGAATCAAAGGCATTTCGTCTTATTAACTCTCCTCCTTTAGTCGACAATCTCTCTCCCCTTTCTCTTTGCCACAATGTTGCTTCACTCTCTCTCTTTTACAGGTATTTTAATGGGCAATGTTCAGTGGATTTGGCATCCTGTGTACCGCCGGCAAGGCCGTGGATTCGTAACACACGTCTTGCCCGCGGTGCCCACCATTTCTCTGTGGATGTCGGTCACACGAGAATAACCCGTTATAGTACCTCCTTCTTTCCTCACACAGCCAAACTGTGGAATGCTCTGCCTTCTTCTGTGTTTCCATGCTCTTACAACCTGTCTCACTTTAAAAAGCTGGTTTTCCGGCATCTTCGTGGTGTAGATTAATACAGTATAACCTTTTTTTCTATATTTTCAATTTCTTTCCGTTCTTTTTTTTTCGCCCCCCAGGCTCCGTTGTGGGTCGTTTGACCTGTGCCCGGGTGGGCTAATTCCCGTAAAAAAAAAAGCAAGAGAATTTCTGGGTATGCTGGAGGATCCAATCAATTTGTTGTACTTTCGCTTTGTGTCACCAATCGTTGCAGAATTCGAAAGAGTTAATTCTCTTTTTCAAACAACAGATGTTGATCCTGAAGAACTGGTAAGTGAGTTGGTCCTGCACCACAAGAGTTTGTAGGATAGGATCCTTGACAGGAATGGAAAACCACTGCCACTAAACATGGTCGACTATGGTGCCAAATTCATGCACGAGTTGTACACCTTCATAAACCAACAGAATCACTCTGCTGAAGCAGTAGGCAAGGTAGATGAAGTAAAAAAGCGATGTGCTGGTCTTTTAAGCGAGGCCTTGAAACAAGTGGAAAGCAGGCTTCCAGCATCGATGGGGATCTTCAAAGGCTTGAGTGTGTTTGCTCCATGCAAGGTATTGAACCAGACTGAACGAGTGCCATTCAAAGACTTTCCACTGCCTCACCTTCGAAGTGAAAAAGAAGATACCATTGAGCAGCACTACAGAAAAATACATCATTTGCCTTGGGCGGAGGAGTCAGTTTTTGATGGCAAAATTCCCACAGATTCTATCTCTTTCCGGTCTGGGGTGTTGCAATACAAGAATTCAACAGGTAAGCGGCCCTTTGAAGAATTAGGGACCTATGCTATGGTTTGCCTCACAACACCAACGAGCAATGCTGTTGTTGAAAGAATATTTTCCACGGTAACCAACGTTAAAACCAAATCTCGAAATCATCTGGGTTCTGAAATGTTGGACACAATTATTAGAGTTCACTCACACTTCCAGTTCCAAGGAAAATGTTGCAGAGATTTCAAAGTAACACCACACATGATGGAGCTATTCAACTCTGCTAAGGAAGAACCAGGGGATGAAGACGAACTAGACGTTTTTGCTTACGTCAACTAGTGTTATCAAGTTCTCCACCATTATCATGCTCCACCACCATTTCAGATTAAGGTAAATCTTCACTGTAGATTATAGATATTATGTTTATGTAATTATTGGGCTCTCAATTCTTAGTGAAAATTTTGTTTTATTGCGACATTTTAAGTGGATATTGTAGGGGATACTTTTATTTTGTGTGGATTGCAAAAATAGCCTTGTTCTTCCCATCCAAAAAGATTTGGCCGTGAGATGGCGCTAGTGTTGGCTGTGATGTTTGTCGTACATCTGGCAACCCTGCTCACACGGCATCAGTTGAGACTTTGAAACGGTGGAGAGAGCATCTATTTTGTTGGTGTCTTGAGTATTTTTGCATTTTTCATTAAAATTATTGGTCATTCTGAACTTTAGTTAACATATTGATAATATATCGCACAGTGCAGTGTTGATTTAAAGAAAATTATCTTGAATTACACCTAGTGAACTTAAAATTTTATTGGTGAAATAACTGCATCAAGCATGGGTCCCCTGGAAGGTGATTTCTCCTCCATCCCACTTCCTTCTCTTCTCCCTTCTCCTCCACCCCACTTCTAATTCCCATTATCATCATCAACCAGGAGCCTTCTACATACACACCTCAAAGTAAGTTTACTTTACTGCATTTTTTTTTTTTACTATGTATGTACTTTTCGGAGAGCTGTAACCAATTACCCAATATCCCATTGAAACAATGGATTCGTTTACTGAAATTTTCGGTAAACGAACGACCTTCTGGAACAAATTTTGTTCATTAACCAAGGGACCACTGTACAGTAATGTCTCCATTAGCCAGAATCCCTCAAACCCGGAACTCTTCAATAGCCAGATTTGAAATTTTCCGAGGGTCACTTTTTCCGGAAAATTAAAAAAAAAAAAAATTCCCGATACCCAGAAATTTTCAGGGATGTGGGAGTTTTTTCCCGTTTTCGAGAGAAAAAAATCAGGCACATTTTCCAGAAATTCTGAGAACATTTTTCCGGTACCTGGAAAATTCTGGGGATGGGAGATATTTTTCCAGGTTCGAGAGATAATGTAATGGGCAATTTCTGCAACTTCAAGAACATTTTTCCGTTACCAGGAAAATTCCGAGGATGAGGATTTTGTTTTTCGGCTTTGAGAGAGTCATCAAGTTACCCGGAAATCTCTCATTTCCGGAAGTGGTCTGCACCAATTGTTCCAGCTAATGGAGATATCATTATGTCTTATATTTTGACATTTTACCAAATATTACGGAATTTGTAATATACAGTATATTTCTTAACAGCAAACCTTTATGAATTGAGTGATTTTGAATTTTTGGGGTACGAATTATGGAGGTTTTACTGCACGAGACTGGCTTGCGAACATTATTTGATTTGTAAGAAATTAATAATCCATTGTTTTGACTACTTTAGCAAATTATGCTCACAAATCAAGCCATTTAGAGAATCGTGCTTAAAGAAAAACATACTTATAAATATCATAAAATAATAATATTTTGAAGTAATTGGTATTTTTTAATCTCTTATATCATTTAGCCTATATTCTATGATTTCAGAACAATTACATGATTGTGAAGCATGATTAGAATATCTTGTCACTGTGTGGTGGCCATCTTGGAAATGACAGCCATATTGGATGTTTTTCAAAAGGCCCTATATACTCATTTCTGAAAAATACATGTTTGTCGTCAAAAGTGTACAATTCACACCATAATATGCACCATTTTCTTGGATTAGTATTGTAGTGTAAAAGTAGAGTTACTTCCCACAGTGCCACTTCAGCAGTTGGAGTACTGTACAGGTATTTATTGCCACTTCCTCCCATTTTAAACTATCTTCAAATACATGAGCTGCCAAGTGAAGAATAACCGGCTAGAAATCAAGGATTCACCCTGAAATCCTGATCTAAGCAAGCTCAGATCTTGGTTGGTTTGAGAACTCTTCCTCCTCTCATGGATTAATATCGGAAACTGCAGGGAATGAATGGAAATAGATGCCTGAAAAACATAATGTCAAACCTCAAATGTATGGACAGGAATACACTACTGTAGTTGATGCTTTGTTTTGTACTCATTCAGGCCTCCTCCCTGTGTCTCAGCAAGGGAAACATTTCCTTCTACTTTCCCTTTCTGGGTGACAGTTATAGTAGGTGAGGTAAAAGATTAGAAGATTAGTCATAACCATTAATTTCAGTCTTCCTGGGTCAAGACCAAAGTATTAGTATTTCACTTATATTTGATTACCATTGCTCAGGGCTTGATCGGTGAATGGGTTATAGGGACCAATCCTTCATTTTGTTATTCTTTTGCAGGTTTTTGACTGGGGTGTCATTGGGTATCGTAACATCAGCAGCACCAGTTTACATTTGTGAAATTGCTCATTCATCTGTTCGTGGTGCGCTCAGCTGTGTGGTGCAGCTGGGAGTCAACCTGGGCATCTTCACTGCTGCTTTACTTGGTAATGATTTATACCTTTTATGTTTTGTGTAAAGAGAATATATAATACAGCTTTAGTACTGACAGTACTCTTTGAGAAGGCATTAAAATATGTCCAGGTTAAACTGAGTGCAGATTAATTTAAATGAAACTCCTTCCGGTAGACCAGAGGACTTTACTGAAAAGCTCTGAAATTACCAGGTGAGAAAAAACAATTATTTAAGTAAAAGTACTCTTTCACCAAGTTACTTGAAATAAAATTTATAAAGTACATGTACTCAAGTAATTGGAGTAAAAGTACCACTGCAAAAAAATAAAAATAAAAAAGAAGACTACAGTAATGTTGTGCCAATACTGTAGTCAACAATTAGATAATTCTGATTTACCAGTCTGCTGTCCAAAGGCAAAAGATGCTAAAGATAATGCTGTGTGACCAACAAACTTGCTACAGTATTGTTACGACCCTCCTCCTTTCAACGCTTACCCAGCTTCCACCACAGGTTACCAGCGGCTAGGGTCGTATGTACAGAGTGGTAGATATCTCACAAAAGTTGTCTAATTACCACTGGCTGTCCTGCCAGTCTCCTGTAATTCCCTATGATCGGTATCAGTGTACAGACAAACAACAGGCAGGTAGCTTTCCACTAGGTCACAGAAACACACTTGTGCACTGTAGTCTTCTTTAATAAACAGTAATTCATCACAACACTGTTAACAGGGTAATGTCTTCACAGCTTAACTCCGCACTTCAAATACTGTATATAGTCAGCACACTACCAGTGTACAATTCCTTAGTCTTCTCACTTTATATTAATCACAACAATTCCACCACACTTGCACAACAATTGTCTTCAGTTGTTCTGCTAGGCTTAGTCTTTACACTAGGAACAGAGGCGAGCAATTAACTAACACCTAGGCAGCCCGCGCCCGGTTATATACGTCTCGTCAGACACTTCTTGAACATCCTAGAATAACTCAGAGACACCTGGGAGATTCTAAAACGTTCTACTCTGATCGAGGCTTACATTAATAAGTAAATCATAACAGAAATGATGCAATACATTCTAAAACATTCTTACATAATTAATACATCAATATCATCAACATGTACAGTAATACCTCGCTTTACGCGGTCAATTGAACCCACGGAGGCCCGTGTAAAGCGGAAAACGCGTAAAGTGAACAACAAAACATATGGGATTAATTGAAATAGAGACTAGGCCGACCCCCAAACTCCATTTTTTCAGACACAATACCTACGTTGTAGTAAAAATAACTTCTTAATTTTATGATGGTATGCACACACAATTAATAATTAAGAGAAATATCAATAATATTAGGTTTTTTAACACTTACATTAGTAGAAAAGATGGCTAGGCACACGGGGATAGGGGGTTGGTTGTATCACTATCCACCACAGAGGCTTGCAGGGCCTCTTCGTCCAACCACTCAAAGTCCATATCCTCACTATCACTGACTTGGGGCGGCTGTGGCGGGTGGCGGGTGAAGAACTCGGTAATGTTTTGATGACTGGGCGACCTTGTGCGCACCCTGCCCGCGTCGCTTCCCGCGTATATGAGTAGATGCACCGCGTAAAGTGAACATTCCGGTTCTGGCGGGGTACCACGTAAATGTAAAACGCGTAAAAAAAAACGTGTAAAGCGGGGTATTATTGTACAGTATTACCCCGCCTAACGCGGTTTCACTTAACGCGTTTTATCATATACGCGGTGCCTCGCCAGAGCTGAACTTTCACTTAACACGGATTTTTTCCACATATACGCGGTGAGTGTCCGGCTCGAGAGCTATTTTTAGATTTGCCCCACCCGCCACCCAGCCTGACTGCCTGTTTTAGCTCATAAAATTCATACAAATTACCCGGCCAGAATATAATTTACATTGCTGGAATTCTTATAATTTGGTGATCATTTTGAATATAAACAACATATATTTTGCATTAAACATACAATTTTTAGATAAAACTTTTTCTCTAGGTAACTATGTTATCTTTTGTGCAAAATATATGACATTTATATTCAAAATATTCCTGGTCTTACAAGGAATCCAGCAATGTCAATTATATTATCCTAACTTTAGTTTGAGGTATTATTTATTAAAATTTAGTGGTTATCCCACACATCTCCTTGGGACGGTTGGTGGGGGGTGGGGGGGAGGGAGGGACCGACCGACCATCTGTTACCCCGTGAAGAATTATTATTTTTTTTATTAACTGAAGATATTTGTTTTAGCTCATAAAATTCATACAAATTACCCGGTCAGAATATAATTTACATTGCTGGAATTCTTATAATTTGGTGATCATTTTGAATATAAACAACATATATTTTGCATTAAACATACAATTTTTAGATAAAAATTGTTCTCTAGGTAACTATGTTATCTTTTGTCCAAAATATATGACATTTATATTCAAAATATTCCTGGTCTTACAAGGAATCCAGCAATGTCAATTATATTATCCTAACTTTAATCTGAGGTATTATTTAATACTAAATGTTAAAAACTCTGGAAGGGAGGATTGGTGGGGGGTGGGGGGGAGGGTTGGGACTGACCGCGCGGTTGGAAGAGGGGGGGAGGCAAGGTGGGGTACTTTGATTGACAGATAGTGTTGTGAAGATTATTTTTTTTTTATTAACTGAAGATATTTGTTTTAGCTCATAAAATTCATACAAATTACCCGGTCAGAATATAATTTACATTGCTGGAATTCTTATAATTTGGTGATCATTTTGAATATAAACATCATATTTTTGCATTAGACATACAAATTTTAGATAAAAAATTTTCTCTAGGTAACTATGTTATCTTTTGTGCAAAATATATGACATTTATATTCAAAATATTCCTGGTCTTACAAGGAATCCAGCAATGTCAATTGTATTATCCTAACTTTAGTTTGAGGTATTATTTATTAAAATTTAGTGGTTTTCCCCCAAGCAGTGTAGTGTGAGAGGGGGAGGGAGTTGAGTCCATTATTTGAATGGACATTAACTTGGCGACTGTATTTCTCTATTTCTCTTAAGTATTAATTGTGTGCATGTACCATCATAAAATTAAGATGTTATTTTTACTACAACACAGGTATGTGCCTTCAAAAAGTGGAGTTTGGGGGTCGGGCCGGTTTCTATTGGAATTAATCCCATATGTTCTGTTGTTCACTTAACTCGGATTTCACTTAACACGGGACCCTCTGGGTTCAATTGACCGCGTTAAGTGGGGTACAACTGTACATGGAAATTTGACTAAATTTGACAAAATAACTTGCTGAAAACAATCAAAATTCCTAGTTTAAAAAATTATTATACAAAATTATGCCTCGGCATAACAGTATACACCCACCTCTCGTTGTACGCGGGATTATGTTCATGAAAACCACCGCTTAATTCAAAAACGCGTGAATTACACATAATTTTCCCTTAAGAATACATGTAAGTGGTACAGGTTAGGGGAACCATCATATACTGCACAGGGTACAAACAGTTAAACCAAGCACGAGGCCAACTTCCGACACACGCTTTCCTCTCTAAAGGCGGGTGATCACATTTAATTTCACGTCCATTGCGCTTGTTTTTTGTGCCTTTTTAACTTTAGGCACCCCAGAGGAGGCAGATGGACTTTTCCAGACATGCTCAATGGGGAAAACAGCGTTTAACATCAAAAAGGTACGTGATAAGAACACAATGCAAATGAGAGCACAGAGAAAAAGTAGTGCTGGCGTGAACTGAGAAAGTGATACGCGGGAAGCTTGTTGGACGTCGTCACAGTTGTTGTACAGAATATTTCATTATCATCATTATCTTCATCATTAGTAGTAATAATCTTTATTATAACATTTTTATAATAATTATTATTATTAATAATAATATTAAAATCGTTGATGTTGATATGACTGCAACTTTATAGTAATAACTTACAAGCACCTCACCAGGCATAACATGCGACTTCACTGCCAGGTGACCAGGCGAATACGCGCAGCAAATTTAAACTGTCTTGAGCACATTATTTAAAAAATAGATGCGCGTAAATTAGCTTTAGGTATTAAGTGAACAATCGCATTATTCCAAAAACGCTTAAATCAAACGCGCGTAAAATGCGAGTTACCTGCATACTGAATAATTCACAGCATTGTTTATTTAAAGAAAAGTGAACACCAATAATTATATAATTTTATACTCTATAATGAGGAATATAAACCCACATGCAACTACAATTTACTATTTATTGCACATAATTTTCACTTATCCTTAATTTAATAAAAGCTGATTTTCAAACCTTTTGATACTTCTTGTAGCCCTTTTGAGGCTGAAGATCAGTCCTGCATGACTGAACAATCTCTGACACGCTGATGATGCTGGTAAGGGTGTATAGATTTAAAATAAATTCATTACAGAGTGGAAGGCCTTTAGTATGACCATTGATGTTGAGGAGTTTCCCCTTTCCTTGGAACCTTGTGTGCATTAATGCAGGAAAAGTAACGAGATAATGAGAGGCCCAAAATTAAATACCGAGATAAGAGTACTGATAATTGTCTTATGTTACTCAATAAAAGTATTTAGAAGAAATAGTTACTTTCAAGTAACTTTATTATTAAAAACAGTTTTTGAGCTCGGTAATGAAATAATTTTACTTCGTTACCGTCCACCTCTGCATACAGCAGAGAAAAAGAGCATGAGTAACTTTGAGAACAGCTGGTGAACAACCAAAATGACATGTCCACTCACTCATCAAGTTCCTTTGTAGGTGGTACTGTTTATAATAGTAGTAATAATAATAATGTAAGCCATTATGATCATTATTATTGTTGGTGATTAGAATGTTAATAAAATGTTATTTACAAACTTAAAAAATAACATCTCAGTGTAGCCTTGAGCCACACATGCACAACCAAGTAGAGTAGAGCATTTGTTAACCATGACAACAGGGGTGTGATACATTCCTTACTGCCTCTAACTTCAGTACTTGTACAGTGGTACCTCAGTTAACTAGCACAATCCGTTCCACCAGGTTGCTTGTTAACTGAAAATCTCGTTAACCGAAACCATTGTTTCAATGGGTTTTTGGGTAATTGGTTCCAGCTCACCGAAAATTGCCTAAATTCAACAAAAATTGTAGAAATGGACACTTACCTTGAGGTGTGTATGTAGAAGGCTCCTGGATGATGATGCTGATGTGAATTTAAAGTGGGAGGTGGAGGAGGAGAAGGGAGAAGAGAAGCATTTTACTGCTTCTTCGAAGGTGAGTCACCTTCCATGAACATGTCAGGAACCTCTGGACTGACAGATTCTCCACCATGAACATCCTCTCTCCTTCTTGAAGTGGAAGGCTGAGGGCTAGCATCATCCTCTTTCCTTCTTGAAGTGGAAGGCAGAGGGATAGCATCTTGTTCCCTTTGCCTTTTACTGAAGAAAGTGTCAATTGTGGTCTGTGGGGCATCTCTCTCCTCACCATTAACTTATGTTTATAGAAGGAGACCATTGAGTCCAAAACATGACACAAAGTTAGTTAAGTTTTTTCAAACATCTGAGTGCTTTGAAGCCAGTTCCCTGAACTTCTCCCAGTGGTAAATCACATCTTTTAACTCTTTAGTTGACATATGGTCATCACTTTCAATTTCCTCCTCACCACTGTCAGCCTCTAACATCTCATCCAGTTGCTTCAAGTCATCAGGAGTAAGTTCCTCCTCATGAGACATCACAAGCTCTTCGACATCATCCTCTTCCACTTCAAGGCCCAACGACTGACCAATGGACACAATCTCCTGGTCCAACTCTGTTTCTTCCTCAAATCCCTCAAAATCATGGACTACTGATGGCCACAGTGCTTTCCATGAAGAATTGAGGGATCTAGTGGAGACTTCTTGCCATGATGACACAATCAATTTTACAGCCTCCAGGATGTTGAATTGTGTCTTCCAGAACTGTTTCAGTGTTAGTTCAGGATCATTGGAAGTTGCCTGATGACACCTCCTAAACATTTTCTTCATGTACAACTTCTTGAAGTTGCTGATCACATTCTGGTCCATTGGCTTTATGATTGATGTAGTCTTGGGAGGCAAAGACAACACTTTCACAAAGTCAAATTGATACTCCAAAGTTCTGGCAAGTTCAGGGTCATGACCAGGAGCATTATCCATGAGGAGAAGAGCCTTTAAAGTGAGTTTATTGGTGGTTAGGTAGCTCTTGACAGAAGGGCAAAACACATCAACAGCCCATTCAATAAAGAGCTGTCTTGTCACCCATGCCTTACGGTTGGACTTCCAATAAACTCCAAGCTTTGTTCTTACCACTTTCTGTTGCTTGAACACCCTGGGGTTTTCAGAGTGGTAGACAAGCATAGGCATTTGTTCTAATGCCTTGTTCATGTTTTCTTATAATTTCCTGCTTAGTTTGGATTGAAATCGCTTTTCTTGATCTCTTAGGCCCCATGCTGGATTCAAACAATGTCAACACGTGATCTTTTAGGTATAAACTTGCTGTAAATAAAGAATATCTTCTTTAAAATAACACTGCACTGCGCTATATATTGTCAATATGTAAAATAAATTTTAAAATGACCAATAATTTGCTTGGAAACACAGAAAAAAGGCATTTAGTTGAAGAGAGTCTCAAGCAAGATGTTACCTCCAGTGAAAACAGAGAGAGACTAACGCTTGTTTGCTGTGTTAAGAGGCTGGATGCCGCGCATTTAACTAGTCACTTTACCTTCAGTTATGTTCAATAATTGTTAAAATGACTAAAAAATTTAATATTAAACTTTTAAAATTATTGAATAGTATAAACTTCTTGATATTTACTAAAAGAGTAAGGAATTTAAGCCCTAGAACCGATTAATGTGTTGGTGGACTGATACTAAAGCTGGTTGACCGCCAAGTGCAAGCCAAAACTTGTTGAGGTCGGCTCGTAAGAAACTCGTTAACCGAGGGAATGCTCGTTAACCGAAGTTAAGAATCTTATGGGAGGTAACTCGTTAACCGAAATCTCGTTAACCGAGGCGCTCGTTAACCGAGGGATAACTGTAATAGCATTTTTTTCAGGCTTTTTTCATGTGTTATCCCTATACGACTTTTATGGATTGATAATGAATTCATTAGATTCAATTATAAACTTGCTTTACTCTCATTTAGATCCATAATTAGAGAGGAATTGGCACCTTTTATTGTCAAAATTCACTGCCACCACCAAGAAACTGTGAGAGAGGAATTCAGTACATTTACTGTACGTACTGCAAGAATTGGAAACCATAATTGAGGAAATAGCAATTGGGGAGGGATACCTGTACAGTTTGATGAGTTAAAAGAGGGAGTCTTTTTTGGCATTTATAGACAGGAGAGAATAGCATAAAGGTTTTGAAACTTCCAGACAAGGTCCAAGACTCTTTACTCACATCAAACCTACCATAATAATGATAATAAAACTAATTGGTAAATGTTCCCGCTTGATATTACACACTTGTATTTCTGACCAGGGACCTTTGTGGAGTGGCGTGGCCTAGCTGTGTTTGGAGCCATAACCGTTGTGTTATACTTTGTGGCCACTCTCTTCATTCCAAATTCACCAGTGTGGCTTGTGTCTTCTGGCCGAGAGGATGATGCCAGGGAAACGCTTCATAGGCTACGCGGACATCAGTATTGTGTGGAATATGATTTACAGCAAATTATATCATCAAAAGCTAACCAGTATGTATGTTGTTGATGTTATGTATTATTTTTGCTGTTAATAGATTGCCATTTCTTTTGTCTTTATAACAAACAGAAAGCTGGATGTTGTAATTTTTATTTGACTTATCATATCGAGGATACTGCTTCATTATGAGTAGAGGGACATGCAGGATTGGGTTCTAATAAGGTAGTTTATCCACCTATATAGTTCATATAAAAGCCATTTTACTCACTGATTATGATGGTAACTGGATCTGAAAAGATACTCTTAACACTTTCAGGGTTTTTTGTTGCAACACTTTCCCAAACATTTTCCTCATTTATCTGTATACAGGTATACTCCCAATAACCGATGCATAAGTGGACTGTGAAAAGTCAATGGATAGTGAATCGACATTTTCCAAAGTAATTAATCCACTAAGAATATAAAAAATTCAGGAGGTTAGGGACCAGCCACCTGCCAAAAACTCCCATCCACCCTTGATATATCTCTGCCATTCAGACTGTCAGGCAAGAAAAAGAGTAGACATAAAGCAAGCATAATAAGCATTAATTAAAGAATGTAAGCATAACTAGAGACCATTATTCGCTAGTGTTGAAATGTTTGTACACGTTGAGTCGTCACTCCTCCCCTTAGCCAACCCATCTGGCTGAAAGGCTGGCTGATGCTTTTTTGGTCACTGTTTCTGCCAATAAGAGTTTTAATAGGTAACCACACACATTTCAAAATCAATTATGTGCTAATGGAAATTTTTTTAGATTTGGCAAGCCTGCCAACACATGCATGTCCTCACCATGTTGATATCCCATGCCTATAAACCTGTTCTATATAGTTGCTGGAGAAATACAGTCATCTGCAGACATCTATGCTTTTTTGTTAGGTTACTATGTTTTGGGAGGGAGAAAGGAGAGAATGATAAAGTGAGACTTCACCTTCAATACAACATATCCTTTTATTCTCAAGTCAAAATACAAATTATATACTGTATATTGTATTTTATCAGTAATTGAAGACTTTATATTATTTATGATGAATTGTATGCCATAAGAGGCTGATCAAAGTAGAATCTAATAATAATGAATCAATAATACTCAGGTCAAAAGATGGCCTTGATGGCAATCAGCAGGTAGGGAAGAATGGTCAGGGAAGAGATACTTTTTGATGCAACTTGTCCTTTTATTTTGAAGTCAGATTACAAATTATATATTGTATTTTTTCTATTATTTAATTTATTATTAATGAAGAAATATACACCATAAGAGGCTGACCAGATGAGAATATAACAATGAATAAAAAACAACAGACTGGCAAATACACCACTGTCAGTCCCATCTCTCACCCCCCTTCCTTTATGTAGGGAGGGGGTGAGTGGTTTGGGAAACTCTTCCCTTGTTATTCGGCTTGTCTTTTATTTTGAAGTCAAATTATATACCGATCAGAGAGAATACTATATAATAATCAAAATAAAAACGAACTTGCGCTTGTGGCAACAGCCAGTCCGACACATCAGCTATTATCTCCTTGTCTATTAGCTCTCATTACTCCTATATCAAATCTGATTAGACCACACTATCCCCATTACAGACAATATATATTCTACTTAAAATGCTAGCCATTGTTTATGGGTTAAACAGAAGACGATGTATTGCTGGGGCATTTAGGCATGATTGCTTAACTCACCTGACACACAAAGTTGGAGAAAGAGGAGATAAGAATAGCGAAAGAAGAGAAAAGAGAATAGAAAGAAGAAAAGAGAACAGAAATAAAATAATACAAGAGAAAGAAGAAAAGAGAAGAGAAAGTAGAAAGAGATGAACAATATATACACTGTAGAGTCTTAATAATTAACAAAATACAAATTTGCATACCCATGGCAAGAATTCCCACCACGTCATGGCTCACCAAACTCGAGAGATCTCTGGCGCTCCTCCCCCAATTGTCAGATCAACGGGGTATTGTAGTCAATGAAACTTGTGGGGTGTTTCCCCAATTTGTAATCGTCGGTTATGCAAAGCGTCAGTTAATGGGACGTAGGTTTATGGGGTATTATACCTGTACTGTACATCTTCCAGCAGACTCATCTACTCTATAATAACACCTCATTAATGGTGCACTCTTAACCCCTATACCACACAATATAACAATTCCACTTTCTTCTCCTTTTTTACACTGGATTCACTTGCATCATTCACTTTATGGTTAGAAGCTGTGCCGCTGTGGTTAAAAACAAAAATCAGATGAAAAAATGCACGTAAAATTTGTAAGACCTGCAACAAGAAAAAGATTACATGGGTCTGGGAAATATCCTAGATTAGTTCTCATATCTGTTATTATAAAAAAGCCGTTTTTTTTCTAAAAACCAGTTTTTGTGATATGATCCACAAATCGACGCTTAGCTTTTAACCTAGGTATATTAATGCCTAGCAATAACTCACCAGGCCAACATACAGGCAATTAAAACATCTAATAATTACTTAATAAGTAATATTAGGAGGACATGTCGCTACCTGGCATTTAATTGATATTGTCGAAACCCCTTCCTTCACCCCCCATCGCACGCACTGCTACCTTCATCTCTTGCCTTAGAGCGAGCAGTAAATAAAAGTCAACTCTCGAGGGGTGGAGATGGGTGGGTTATTATCGTCGCATTCTGGACCATATCACAAAAACTGGTTTTTAGAAAGAAATGGCTTTTTGTTCAATCCAGAATGCGACGCTTAGCTTTGAATACCCGAGCATGTGGAGAGGGAGGTGACTTGCATACAAGGCTCCGCTAACTTAGGTCCAGATTATGATTATAAACCGTGTAGAATATTTCCAAAACTAGGAACATTTACCGGAAGGTAAAATGTTAATTTACATATCTCAATTAGGATACTCACTTTATTATGGTGATCAAGAAGATCTCCAAAAGCCCATTTCCTTAATCTAACTGAGGCTCATATGCCGCAGAAAGGCCACAGACCCTGCATATTTCCTAGTGTTATGTGCCAAAAATTTCTTGCCAGAGTCTGCGTGATTCATTAATTGAGATAAAGATTTTGTCATTTTACTAAAAGACAATTTCTTACCATCCCTGGGTGAAAAACATAGGGGCCTCAATTAGGGAATCTTGATAACCATTCTTGAAGATTTTTAACTGAGCACAATATATGAGGAACCCTTGTCTCATGCATTAGGCATTTTATCCTAATAGGTTGAGCTTGGAAATCTTCCCTTTCATTTTTTCTTAGGATCTTCGTAGGAAAAAGAGTAACATCCTACTCAGAAAATACCAATAATGATGGATTATTGGAAATTGAAATCAGTTAACTTATTCACATACCTGTTGCTAATGCTAGAAGGAAGACTGCCTTCTGTAGTAATTTATCCCTTTTCAGATTTATATTGTAATCAGGCCCCATAAGAAATTTAGTAACTTTTTACAGAGACCAAGGTGGGATTCCCTTAGGCCGAGGAGGTCTCTGAATGAAAAAGGACGATCTTAGCATTTGATAAATCCTTGGGTTCAAAGTAATATTAAAACCCAAAGCCAGAGGGTCAACCAATGCTGATTTATAAAATGCAATTGTCTATCCTTGAAGGCCTTTAACTCTGAACAGAAATTCTTAAAATTCTAACACAACTGTTTCTGACAATGATTCTGGAGTTGTTAACTTGATTAATTGTTGAAAAAGATTCCAAGCTTTCTCATTTTGCATAGAAGTTTGAGGTCTATGACCTGCTAATACTTTGTTAGCTATATCGGGATTACCCAACAACCTATTTAAACTCCTTTTGAGAAACTCCAAGCTTGAAGTACCAAGGATATCTCGAACTGACAAAGTAGTTCCTGGTATAGACATCCTTGTTGCAATTGTAGCGGATTCGGGCACCAGTCCAACAGATCCAGGCACCAAGGTTGTATGATCCAATATAGTGCCATTAAGAGGACCTTGCCTTGGAGGGATCTGAGTTTGTGAACCACTTAAGGCAATATTTTCACAGGTGGGAACAGCTAGATTGAATTCCAAAGGTTTCAATCTAAGAATAGTGCATTTCCTAAAAGATTCTACCTCTCCAGAGATGCATAAAGTTTCATCTTGCAATTTTTAGGGAGGGAAAGAGATCTATCTTTGGAGTTTGAAACTTCTTCACTAGACTCCTGAACTCTGATACTTTTAGGGACCATTCTGTTTCTGTCGATACTGGCCGGAGACGGGACAGTGGATCTGCCAAATTGTTTTGTACTCCCAGTATATAAGTTGATTTGAGGTAGTGTTTGTGTTACACAAACACTGAAGAATTTTTCTGACAGTTGTAGAAGGGGCCAAGACCTGGGTGAGCCTTGATGATTGAGACAAAACACTGCCCTTTTTTTTTATGGCAAAAAGGATCGCCATATTCTGTAAATTTGGGTTTGCCAACAAAAGAATAGGACCACTGCTAATTCTTTTACATTTATGCGTTTGTCCCAAAGGAAGTTGCTCCACTTCCCTTGACTGAATTCCCCTATTGAGGAATGGTATCCCCATCCTATTTCGGACGCATCCGTAGAAACGACCAGACCTTTTTGAGACGGAATCCAGGGATAGGAACCGATTAGATTGTCCAACTTTGTCCACAATAACAGATGATTCTTTATCTGAATAGGGAGAGAAGAAGCAATATTTCTGCTTCTGTGGAGCAAGTTCGAGCCCAGATGAGATAGTTGCTTTTTCCTTAACTTTCCCAATGGAACCACTATTGTGGCAAAATTCAACAGACCCAGAAGTTTTTCCCAATCGTGCCAAGAAACCTTGTGCTTTACACAAAAGGCTTCTACTTTGTTTATCAAATCTGTTACTTTTGTTCCTTGTAGACTGAGTGACTGCTGATTTGTATCCCACTGGAGACCTAACCAATCCAACTTTTGACATGGTATTAAATTTGATTTGACCTGGTTTATCTTAAACCAAGGTTTTGAAACTTGTGTGCTTGTGTATCACCCTTTGACAATCTTCGAAAGAGTTTCCCAATATCAGCCAATCCGCTAGAAAAGC